TGGTGATTTTGAATTTGGTGAGTTGATCTTGGCACGGTACCATTCGTGGATACCTACCCTGGCAGCACTGTTTGCTTGACGAGGGCTCGAAATAGGTGGAAGGGAAGTTAACTTGTTATCGTTATATACGGGCTCTTTGGTTGCGGACCGCGCTAGGGGCAGCTGAATAGGAGAAAGGTCACAGGAGGAGGGTCGTGCAACCAGACTAGGAGAAAGGAGGTGCGTATTTATGCTCAGTTTAGGCGGATTTGCTTTTGCAATTCTGGGCTTGTGATTGTTATGGCTGGGATTGCTTGCATCGGAAGTGTTTCTAGTGCGTTCGGGATATGCCATGTGGGGTGTAGGGTGGCTGGGGTTTAGAACGCAGGTCTCTGTGGCGAACAAGTTGCGAACACTTGGTCGGGATATTCGTGCACTTGTATTCTGGTTTACCGAAGTCGGAAAGTTGCACGATTCTAATGGCGACCATGTTTCGCCTGAGTATTCACTATTCTCTGACATCAAGTAACCTCTAGAAAAGTCTTTTGTGTCCTCATCATCTGTAGCTGGGCTCAAATATCTTGGGTTGAGAAATTCGTCTGGAGGCCCACGCGCATTCCTACATCCCACAATGCTATCACTATACCCACTACACGGGTAAGGAGTGTCGCTTCTATCTCCATCAGCTGGCGCTTCTCCCTTGTGCTTTCTCTTGAGCATCGTCTTGAATAATTTCTCCTTCCTCTTTGTCGCCCAACGCCAGGACTGTTTCAAGAGGTGCTTCTTTCCAGGTTTTCCCGACAGACCATCTATTAATTTCGAAATCCTGTTGTCCACTAGCTCCAGAGTTTGGAGCTCCTCGTCCACCAATTCGCACTCTTCACACCTCGCCAGTTTTACGGGCGCAATACCTTCAGCGGTCTCAGTTCCAAAATCAAGATTTGGAGCGATTGAATGGACTTGCGTTGTAGCCGGCCCAGTTGGTAGCGTTCCACCTACTGGAGGGGCCTCTGGGGAAAGCTTGCCAACTTCTGTAACTGTTTTTGTTGGAGAACTGGCGACAGTGTATGCCAATTCTGAGGTTGGTGAGCTTGATGAGGTCCAGCCTGAGCATGTTGGCGAGGAAATTGGGGTATTTTCCTTTGAGTAGACTTGCGAGACTTCTTCTGCATGCTGCATCGAATACCGAGGTTCCTCAATGATCTTCTGTAGCACTTCGGCTACAAATTTCTCATAACCTATCCCTACTAATCTCTTGTTTTCTCCATAGAGAAGATCTGGTTTCTTGCTAATTCCCCGCAGAGGAGGGTTGTGGAGCTTATAATGGGAAACTCCACGCTTGCTGCCAGGAGTCAGAATGCTTCGGGCTTTGAGACTTGTAAGAGTTGGCGAATATGGATGAAAGGCCCATTCGTAAGGCTGAACGAGCTGAACGGCTTCGAGAGGGAAAAACCTCATCATAGGCAGACGGCCCTTGAATTGCCCGGCTTTTTTTTCCTCTGGGACTGGAGCGCAAGGCACTGAGGTTAAATATTGTTAGCACGGAAACTCAGTCATTGAAGTGGTTAAATTACTGACTGTGTAACTTAGAGCCATCTGGAGGTAAGAACTCTTCCCTTGTCGCAATATAGTCGAGTGCATCCTCATATTTGCTCCCAAGAGCCCAGTTATCAGACGCAATAAGAAGAACTATCAAGAGAAGATCGATTTCCAATTCAAACTCATCAGCTCTTTTGGCCGAGTATGCGTACTTGACTTTAACCAACTTTCCAGGGGTGATTTCCTGTCGAAGCAAGAGCCCAGAGTTGATATCGTTCACTTTTGGTACAAAGGATTTTGATAAACTAGGTGAGTTTGCTCCAGCAAGATTAGAAACCTGACTCTGCGGCATACAAGGGCTTGTATAGCTCCCCGTCGACGTGGGCACTCGCTTATTCTTTTCCAAATCGCTAGCGAGACTATGGAACGTTGGGACAGGCTCCTGGTGCGATTGAACTGGTAATGATACTGGCTGCAAGGTGAGTCGACCTACTGCACCTGGATGTATATGATGCATGGGACGGGTTTGTTGAATTTGTGGATAGTATGTTTGTGTCAAGGCCGATATCTGCGAATAGCAGGGAACAGGGATAGGTTCACATTCCACAGGATCAAAGCCGAAGAGGTTCAAGACTTCGGTAGCACTGCCACCACGGCTACTGAGGGCTGGATGGGGTGAGTCTGGGCTATCATCTTCTTTCCGATGTTTTGTGTCCTTCTCGAATGCCTTAATATCCATAACTCCACCTTCATTTTCACTTTCCTCTTCATCTTCCTGGCTTTCCTTCACCCTCGGCTTGCGTTTCTTCTTTCTTCTTGTCTTTGCAACCAACTTGTCCAACCCGTCTGAGATCTTACTCCCGATTGCTGATGCCTTTGTGGCAGTAAGGCTAGCTTTGGATCGTAAGGATGCTGCAAGAGATTGACTTCCTGAAGGCAGATCTACACTTGACTGATTCCTAGAAGTATCTGCATCCATGACCCGTAGCTTTGCGCCTTCAGAAAGTCCAGTTGGGACATATTCTCTCGACGGTTGCCCAGGAGTTACTGCAGGCCCGCTGGCCACTTGATAGTCCCCGGTCATGGCATTGATTGTTGGGTCGTTTGGAAGTTCTGAGTGAGTCAATAAAGCGTATGCTGAGTCTAACCCTTGCCTCGAAATTTCTGGTGTTAGCGCTCGCCGTTGCCTTGTTGGCTCCGGAGCTGGGGGTGAATCTTCCTTTGGAATTTCAATGTCGTTTGATCCATCCCTAATATGCCACCCTGTCCTAGGATCTAGATATACTACCCTCCTGCCTGTCATAGGATCTATGTCCCCTCGATTTGGAAGTTCTGAAGGATTGGGTCCATATGATCCAGCTTGGTTCCTTAGACGTTCACCTGATGGTCTCTGTATAGCTTCTAGGGCCCCTCGCGGCGTGATGGCTTGTTCGTAGGATGGGGGGTCTTCCCCTTCTACTATAGGCGGGGTAGCAAGTCTGGCTGGAGCGGTTTCTGCGTATATTCTGTCCAGCACGTGGGGCTGTGTTTTTGGTTTCTCCCTATCACCATCCCCAGGAGGCTTATTCTGGCTCATTTCAGCCAGTAGTAATCAATTCTAAGGGTAAGAAAATGCTGCTCTTGAGTAGACTGGCAGAGGTCAGAATCTCAGTATGAGAATTTTGGGATAAGTGGGGCCAGTTGCATGCAGATGATATATAATTGATGGCAACAGAGGAGGGCAAGCAAGCACAGTCTGGAGAAGCTATAGGAAGTAAAGGACAAGTAACTTGGTGCGCATCGAAGGCGAGACAGTAGAGGTAAGGAAGCAAGCTAATCCCACGATTCAGGAGAAGCTGGAGTTTCCCACAAGCAAATAGGTACTCAGTATGAGTGAGTCCTGGAGGTTCCCATATTACCTCTTTGGTCCAGTTCCCTACTTCAGTAATTAACTCTCGTCTCTTTGTTGGGTGCTCCCAGTACTATGTAGCTTGTACCTATCTGGGTTATATGTACTTCTTTGGAAGGTCGAAGTTGCCCGGGATCTAAGTATCCTGCCCGCTGCTTTTGAAGTCCACCAGAGGCCTTCAACTGCTCACCAACTACCTTCTTCAGTTCTACTCCAGAAACCGTCGTTGTACTCAAGAGATCACTTATACTATGCACTCACTACATTTACTTGGAACACGTCTGGTACAATAAGCAGTGACTTGCACCCCCCTCTTTGCCAATAGAGAGAGCTCAGCATGCTGACATTAAGAATAGCACCGGGGAGTTGGTTACCCCTGATAAACCCTCTGACACTGCCTACAGTGGTATTGTAGTCTATCCAGACGGCACATAAGATCTCTTTGAGGCAGGAAATACTCAAGGTGACACTGCAGAGGCCATTACGCTCCGACCCCAGAACAATATCAAAGAGTCACAGGCAAGCCCATGGCCAGATGAAAGTAATCTGGTCTCTACTCCTCATCCGAGTGACCCTATTGAAAGGGAAATATCTGAGAATCCGTAACATCTAGAAAAAACATTTCTTCCTGACAAGTCAGGGGAAACCGTTGCGCCAGAAAAGTCTTACTCATGTGTGGATTCTCAGACCGATGGACCTGATTGGGAGGGAAATTGCCAAGCCGCTCCAGATTCCCCAGAGGAGAAAGATATTCCTGTAAAATCTACCCACTGGCTGTTGCACTCCATAGCAGCAATTATTCCAATGTTACGGAGTCTGTTACCTACGGTCCCTACAAGCATCTGTGAAGGAAACGTCGAAGGGTCTGCTTCCATTTCTATAACTACACCTCCCAGTACTTCCGATACTAAAACGACATCCCCAAGACTGCAAGGACCACCTCCAACGTTTCTACTAACGTTTCTACAACTGCAGAGCATGACGCTCCTGGCATTGTCGTAACTGTTCTCGCACCAGCTGGAGTCCTAGTCCCTTCCATCTTGCATGGGCTGGTTTTTGTCGTCTGAGCTGATCATATTCTTCCTTTTCTTATATTTTTCCTTTCTGTCATGAGTTTCCAGACGCAGGCCTTTTTACGGTTTTGTATATTTTCTTGCTGCTACATGGATGGATCTGGGTTGAGAAAATTAAGGAGAACTATTCTCCTCAGAGAAACATCGAGTAAAGTGAAGAAGATATTTGTGTGCTTTCAATAATAAATACTGATAGATGCCATATCTTTGACCTAGTACTTATGGATGGAACTTTTATTAGAGATACAGAGCGGCAAGAAGCCTAGTCTTGTTGTACAACCCCTCGGTAAAGGAACACCTAGTTAGATCACAAAATTTTAGGCGGTTAGGAGCCTGACACTACGTGCTCAGATTATTGTTCATCCTGGGGAATAATTTATGGTGTCTATCGCTAGAGCACATCAGGACATCAGCACATCACATTGTACTTGCCTGGGTAGGTAGAACTTCTGATGGCATTCTACTTTATTTGAGGACTGGGAAAAGAAAGAGGGCAAGAAAGAAAAGGCAAAAAAGAGTTTTTCCGTCGCCGGGAATTGAACCCGGGTTCTGAGAGTCCTCAACTCAAATATCTGAATATGAGAGTCTCAAATGCTAGCCACTACACCACGACGGATAATTTTCTTATGATGTTATGGTCGATACTTCCTACATAAAATAATTGCATTCCCGTATTTTCCGTATTTTCTCATCACTAATCTATATCCTTTCGTGTTTGTAAGTATCGCGAAGAACAATACTTTCAACAGTTATCTAGACCTAACCCAACAATAGAGTGCTCCCGGGCTACTGCATATCCGCGTAATAAACTTAATGCTCCATTCTCTTAAACTTCACGCCTCTTCATCTAACATCCACATACGCATGCGTATGGGTCTGGAATAAAAACTGTCTTCTCAAAACCTGGATATTATATCTTCTCACAAATGGGTTTGTGGTCGAAATAGCTTTGACACAACCTTCAAGACTTCCCTTCTTATATCAATTTCTTTTACTTATATTCGCGTATTCATTAATTGATACTTCGTGATGAAGACATTTTACTTGCACCTTTTACTCCTCTTCACGGCAATCCCTCCTTTCATAGCTCCCTTCACCCGCGCAGCCGAATGCAATTCCGGCACTCCAAATCCCTGCCAATATGCCAATGTAGACTATACAGTCAAAGAAGATGGGTCATTGGAAAGATATGTCGGACAGCGCAAGAATGTGGTCAATTCCTCTCCTGCTATTGACTATTTTCGAAGATTCTTCCAAAGTGGAGATGTTGATCCTACTGACGGGCTTGATCACAATATCATGGAGTTCACTCCTGCACATGCAGGCACGAAACACAAATTGAGAGATGATGAGTTTGAGCTATGCTGTAAGTTATTTGGCATCCAAACCCTCAGCTCCTTTGTCTCGGAAAAGTCTGGTTGCTGATTATAATATCATAGGTGAGCAACCTACCGAGCAATGCGTTGCATACAAGGCGAATTTGGATTTCGCATTCTGCTATGACTCTGAGTAAGTGTAGATTACTACTTGTTTCTATACGGGCGAAATTGACGTGTGTACTTTGATTTTAGCACCAGGGCGTTTCAACTTGCAAACGGTGGCAGGGGGTCTTTGGAGACCTTAGAGTTTGAGTACCCCAATGGTACTAAGAGCAGTTTTGATGAGCTGAACTTGGGTTTTGATTATTTCCGTGTTAAATCATCACCCTGGAAAACTGAAACCATAAAGACGACTACAACCAAAACCAAGCAAGCCAAAACTGAGACTTTAACAAAACAAGAGCCAGAAACTACCGAGAGCAAAGATGTGAAGTAAGTTTCCTCCTCGAGTGTTTGGCCAGAGTACGATTGCAGAGATACTGATGCGGAGATGTAGGACTAGTACTGGAGCAGTGACTTCGACAGTTCAGAAGGCTATAACTTTGCAGACTTCTGTGACCCCCACAGTGCGCAGGCCGTTAGATATATCCACCACAACAATAACGGTCACACAATCAAGCGGTGGGAGTTCAGCTCGAGGAATGAAATCGAAAAATAAACTCAGAAAGTTGTTGGTCAAAGTGATAGCCGCTTGGGTTGCGCTTGCTGCCATTTCTGGGGGTAAAAGCTGTTCTATATCGGAGCTTAATGCAGATGCTGACGATGTGCTGAAGACCCGAGAGTACTGTATTGCTCATAGTGCGTTTGGCTGACCTCCGTGCATCGCTCCAGCCAAAGGATCGACATTTCGCCCCTGGCAGGCATGATGGGAATAGAGGCTAGGGAGAGAATTAGGAATGGCTGTGGTGACAGAGCAGTTGGCGGTAGTGGAGGAGGCTATGGCCGTCGCCGTAGCGGGAGGTATTCTGTGTGTGACTTTGAGTTGGGGGCGTTATTTGCCTCCAGCTACACGCACAACAAGTTTTACACCAAAACCATCCATTTTTCGAGAATTGTTAAAGATCAGTCATAAAATAATTCGCAAAATATTTGCAACAGTGTTTTGAGCGAAAGTAAATCTCTAACATGCTGTTATCTCAAAGCTGGAAACAGAATTTTGCGCGTTATAGATCTCTTCAGAGTTGATGAAATGGTTGTTATGTACCTCTTACATACAGATTTGCGTGGGACCCCATGTACCTCCATCTTGAGTGGGTATTTTGTGCTGTGGTCTTTGGAGGTTCCAGGGAAATTATTTAGGAGAATATATGTCAGTGAGCTTATAGCTTTAGTTTACTGTGATGGTCTTAACTCAAAAGCACATGTTTTCTCGAGCTTTTATAAAAGGGCACCTTTGACTATTTTTACTGCGTTTTGCGCTACTATGCGAACAAGAATGGTCTAGAACTCTGTACCTGTGTTTGTGGATCTGACGATACTAACAGTTAAGTTTAGCAAATATTTGTTTTTCTGCCATAAGCATATACTGTTGTATGTGAGAATTATTCTCAGACTGAAGCTGAAGTCTCGCTAGTTCAGGGTAAATTTAGCTGCAATAGAGTTTGGGATCTTTGTATGTGCTTAGTGTAAGAAATACGAGGTCGGTGATCGGATCAAGAGATTTCGCTAGTTGATTCTTAACTTATCCTGCTCTGTTTCCCCCTTGATATATGTACAAGATTTTCTTCACTTTATTCACTTTATATACCCAAGGCGTATCCTTACAGGCATCAGTAATGGGTTATGCCTATGCCCCACTTGGATCAGGATGATGCGAGAGTATTTCCTAGCTACCTCATCCTTTGGTTCAAAAAAAATATAATTTTCGAAATCGAAAGTCTTTGGATTATTTCAGGTTCTTCTAGAAAAAGCTTCTTGGATGACCGGAGACTATTGATTTGTAGGAGTTTCTTGCACTCGAAAGTTCGTCTGCTGGGTCATGAAGTTGCATCCGGATCTGAAGTTTTCAATGATCAAATCTTGCTGACGCTTGGCTGATTCCACAGGTATGCACAGCTTCCACATCTACACCTAGCCTTGTACCCAATTGACTTGTTATTTCATTTCACTGCAAAGCACACCCGGCTGCTACCAAGTACCCTGAGGTCTTTGAGCTCTGGGCTTTTCTTTATGGGTATTGGCAGTGCTCCATTGGCAAAACCTCCGATATAAGAAACTTCTTCGGTATAGGAAACTGGGCCCTGGTCTCACCAGAATTTCTGTGCAAAAAAAAAACAAGAATATGATCATGTGAATATACCCTTATCGAAATCTGAGGCCAGATTACAGGATCCTCTCACATAGGATATACCTCTGCATATGGCTCCGAATCCGAATTCACTGTGAAAGTGCATTGGATCAGATACCGTAACAGGGGTTGGTCTTGACAAGGGAGCTGAAATTGCAAGAGGGGAGTCATCACAATTGGGTATGGATAGTGAGCATCGGACGGAGGATGGCTTCTTCAACATGGTTGGGGGAGCGGATATCCAATGTCACATTGACAAATTGATGTATTAGCAATGCCAACACCCCCAGGACTACAGCTGCAGCAGCAGCACTATTCCCACCAAGATGAATATATGCTCATATCCCAAACCCAAATGGAAGCAAGGCAAGGAACTTTTGATTTGCCATCACAAAGTCTTCTATGGACACTAGGTTTCAAAGCGGAGAGAGCCTTGATCTGAAATTGAAGTAGTGGGGATTCTCCAAATGAAGCTCTCCTATTCGGATTACATCTAGGAACGAAAGGAACATCGCATCTAAGAGGGGAAATTCCCAATAGAGAGTATTAATTATGGAGGCTATTTGGTTTAATCCTACAGTAACTTAGGGACTCCACTTTCCAAACATCTTTACAAAAACATTTGCACATTCCGTGACAATAAAAATATGTTTGATACAAGAATATTACCCTTCTGCCGGACAATTCCTAGGTATTCTTATATCGAGAGTTATCCCGTACTGTTAGGTGAATGTATCATTGGTCAGAGAGCTGACTTTCTATATATACAGCTAGGTGGCAAAAAAAACTGAACGGCCTTATGCAAGCCGTGTGCATGACTTACATTTAGCGCGCATATTTTAGGCTTAGCCGCGCACAGATGGTACAGCTAGGTGGCAAAAAAAACTGAACGCTGCATAAAAGGCTTGAGCATGCAGCGCGTTTGATTCAGATTCAATGCATCAAATCGCGCCTATCATGTTCTAGGTGAATGTCTCACAACATCACGGTAGATATGTTCTATTACTTATAATCTCCTGGCCGTCCCTTACGAATATCTATATCCTCTACCACTTTGTTAATGTTAAGTCACGCTGATATGGCCCAACCTTGTCCCTCTAATTCCCTGGAACCCTCTATGGATGCCTCATTTACAGATGTTCCTCCCATAGTTATGTACCTCTCCTCCGCGAGCATGGACGAAATAATGCTATTAAATATATGTTGAGATTTTGACATACGTCCTTTCTTATATCCGCCTAGAGTTGAGCGAAACTCGGGGCATTAACGATCCAATTTTCATACAGGACAACCTCGTCGATTCATACCTCCAACCTTGCACCCCAATGGGTCAAAGGCAATGACTGGGTATTTGCTGACCACCCTGCCTGCTCTCCTGACCTAAAATCCAATTGAACATATTTGGGCATACTGAAGCCTCAGCTTCATAAAAGATTCCCTGATCTGATGAATATGACTGGGGGGCCTGCAGTAGTGAAGGAAGTACTAGCGGATGCATTGCAAGAGATTTGGAAGGATATCCAGAGTCGCTATTGCAGAGTCTGTATAGCTCAATGCCTCTCCGTGTAGAGACTTTTATTAAGGCAGAGGGTTGGTCTTGTTCTATGTATGTATGGCACGCTCGATCTATATAACTCCATACTACATTCCGTATCTGTGCGCGGCTAAGCCTAAAATATGCGCGCTAAATGTAAGTCATGCACACGGCTTGCATAAGGCCGTTCAGTTTTTTTTGCCACCTAGCTGTATGTAGTATGGAGTTATATAGATCGAGCGTGCCATACATACATAGAACAAGAGATCTAGTACATTGTATACCAACCCTCTGCCTTAATAAAAGTCTCTACACGGAGAGGCATTGAGCTATAGAGACTCTGCAATAGCGACTCTGGATATCCTTCCAAATCTCTTGCAATGCATCCGCTAGTACTTCCTTCACTACTGCAGGCC